GTCCCTGAATGTTAGCCAGCTATCTTGGGCAATGTTTATGTTAAGGATGTGGACCAAAGTTCTGCTTGCTTTCTCTCATTCACAGAAGACAATGAGAGTGCTTAACAAGTGAGGAGGGGTTTGGCTCCTGTGATAAATGATGACTTGGTCCAACAAAGGCTAGCTAGCTACACCACACTAAAAAAATGTAAGGGATAAAGCTAACTGAGATCACCTTCTGTCCCAAGTGCAAGTACAAAATCAAGGTAAGGGCGCTAACTGAATGATAAAAGATCTGAAATTAAAAAAAGAAAGTTTAATGTACTATGCTCATATTTATCCCATAGGGACAAGAGAATATATCTATACAGTTGTCAAGTATACTACAACAGATAGTATCCTTCTCAAAGAAATTGTAAACTAGTTGATCAAAGAGTATTGTAAACTAGGTAGGTGGAGAGTATCATAGCTAGGAACTAAGTAAACTCAATGAACAATCTGTTACCGTTATTCAAAGCTTTCTAAAAGATACGTGTTCAGAAATTACTGCCAGCATTCTTCCTCATCTCCATGAGTGAATGTGAATGTGTATGTGATGTTTAGCTGAGTGCTATGAGGCATTTTAATTTTCAGGCATGCTTTTCATATATGGCCCATTAAGAAGGTGAAAATAATAAATTCTTACTAATTGCTGAGGCATGCATGTGGCCCAAATACATTTACCTGATGTAACAGATTCTGTGATGTTTAAATTGTTCAGAGAAAGTCCTAGTGACTGCCGTGATGAAGAAGATGATGTGCTACTTGAAGACTCTGATGACGGCCGGGCAGGCTTTCCAGTATTTCCAGTTTCTGCCTTTAAACGATCGTTTTCAGCTTTCAATATCTCAATTTCATTCTGTATTCAAAATAAATCAACACAAAAGCACAGGAGGTTATTCTTTCAGAAAACCACTGGAGGTGGCTGTTTGCTGTTGCCTGCAGGAGCTAACTGATTTACCACTTTCACAGCAGTATGTAGCACTATATATCAGAAGTATAACAGTCAATGAAAAGCGGATTGCGTTCACTTCTGAAATGAAGAAAAAAGACCCCTACAACCTTGTTTTAGTTTTTGCTTCAAGACAGTTCCTAAACAACATAAACTTCAAGCTTCTATGTCTATTGTACAGTTGAACTTAATACAAGTATTGTCAGAATTTTCCCAGCTATCCCCAGTTTTATAAGTTACCTTTTATTGTCAAATATCTTAGGTAACAGTTAAGGAAGTTATTGTTGAAATCTTAGACATGTCAATGTTTCTAAAGTCACTGAAAATTATTATTGACTAAAATTTAAGCAGTAGCTTTGCAGAGAAGAAATTAAATGAAAAATGGACTATTAGAATTTGATAGTTTAACAGTTTCATAACCCTTCTTGCTATCAGATAAGACTTTTCTGATCATTCAAACATGGGTTTGTTCACATAATGGTCAGCAAACCCTCTTTGATGCAAACATACAGTGACAGATGAATCAGAACAACTAGGAATTTTTTTTAGCTAAATCCTCTGTGGTGCCAAGTGATTATTGAATGTACAATAATAAAACGAAACTTTAGCCTGAGAACAGGCTGGTACCAGCTAAATCTAGCTTTCAGTCGCTTCACGAAGCACAGTACAAAGCAACTGCTTATTCTTGCAGATGGTTTTGCACATCAAATTTAATTCCACATTCACTAACACTCTGCTAAAAGTCCTATTCTTTTATGAAGGTTGTTGAGCTACATTATAGAAATGAAAGCCTAAGGGTTAGCGTAACACCCCCCTCCCCCCCTGCCCCCTACACACACACCCGCAATAGCTACAGAAAGATAGGATCATACAGGCAAAGGTGAGGAGATAGCGAAAGGGAAGGGATGAACCAGCAAAACAGTGACAGAAGGAAATAGATGAATGAACTGGTTTAGCCTGGGGTTAAAATCAGGGACGATGGTGAAATGAATCACAAAATCTCCATCTACTCTGTAATTTACGATGATTAATTACACAACTCTTACTAGTCTTCCATTCAGCTGAGCTTTAGATTTTTAGGGTGTTTTGAATACACACAGTATTCATATATCTTTCACACCAATCCTACTTTTTCCCCCTTATCAATTCTCATCAGTTCTCCAAAACATCACAGAGTTTGGCAACTCCAAGGTTGCTACCTGTCCTTTTAGGAAAACTTCAGAAGAAGTGGTGACTACCATCAACAGCACCTGAACTAGCCACTTCTGCCCAGCTTTGGTGAAATTCAAACTTTGGAGGCTTGTGATTACAACAGACTCCTCTCTCTGGGTAGTTCACCTGGCTTAGGCACTCATATCCCAAACTAAGACTATAACCAGCTGATAAGCCTTCCTATCCTCTTCTCCACCACTGCAATTAACTGATTCTACCCTGTACAGTTCCTAAAAAATTTTTAGTGGCTCCAGATCGAATGATTTACTTATATCTGGACAATTGAAACCTATATTTATGGATCAGTTCTTGATTATTCTTCCCTCTAATTGAAGTTCAGCTAAATACCACATAGCAATGCTGGCACCTTGTTATGTGAGCATCTGGGAGGATGGGGTGAACCACAGATGTTTAAAGGTGTGCCTGAGACTGCTATAGGCACAGTATAAACAAGAGGTCTAGAAAAGCCAGCAAGCACATCAAATCTAGTTGTTATGAAATCAGCTGCCATGGACATCTATACAAAAGTACCTACAGGTGCACCTGACCTGAGCACCCAGCACAGAACAATTCAGCTGACAAGCCACTGGGGCTGGATTCAGCTGTGTAAACACAGGTTTCTGGTGTCATAGTAAACATGGACTTCCATGGGTTGAATGCTAAACCTGTAAGTCCTGTGCAGATGCAAATACCTGAGTCTGGTTCAAATGGTAATAGGTGCCTATGCTCAAACAACATAATTTCACCCTCTAAAACTATCTTAGGATGATTTTAGGATAGCTCTCTAGGCCCCACTACTGCAGGACTAAAACTCAATTGACTACAACAAGAATTTATCACCAAGCTCATACCTAGGCATCTAAATGTAGCTGTCCTAGTCTCAACCTGAATCCCTACCCCATGGCTTTGATTCTCTTTCCCAAATACAGGTTTCTAGTTCCCTCAAGGGATGTCCTAGGTATCTCACCTATCATTCCAGAAGGGCCCAGCTCTATTGAAGGACCTATGTTATACTGTGTGGATGTCATAGACACTTTTAGGAACCCAACATGGTACCAGACACTTGTACGTGGGCAACAGAGCTGAGTCCCATAAAGCTCCTTGCTCCAATGAAGAACAATGCCATTCTTTCTGCAACCTTTCAGACTCATGAAAGGGAAAGTCTTCTCAAGAAAAATGTGATCAGGAAAGATTTGGAGCAGTTTCACAAAATAATGTAGTGAAATTATAATGAATTGGGATACAATAATTTAATTCAATTTTACATACTTTGCTTCAGCAAGCCATGACTGGGTTAGAAATCAGAAATTATGAGAGAGTATGCACATACACTCGCCTTCCACATGGCCCAAGGATTTAAAGCTCTGTAGAAATCACTTCTTGATCTGCCTGTCTGTCATTCCAGTCTGACCCTTCCCCAGTCACAGGGTTTAGATAACAAACATCCTTTGTGCAGGGATTATGTCTCCTTCCATATCTCTTAAATAAATTTTAGTTATTAATATAAAGGCTAAGAATATAATTATTATTAGGTAAATGTTTATCATACCCATCCTTTGGAAGTGCTTTTGGTCTATCAATTTACTTTGTATTAACATTTTTTGGTACCTGAAACAAAGTATTGGCAAAGGAAATACACCAGGCATACCTTTGGTGAGCACCCCTGTCATCACTTAAGCTACTGGACTGACCTGCATGCGGTTCATGGCTTCCCGAATCTGATCCAGATGGTGTGCAGAGCTGAGAGCTTCAAGACGAATGTCCGTTAATTTTAGCTCTTTCTCCCTAAGCTCGCTCTTTAGCTGAAGAATAATTTCAGCTTCTGCCTCTGTACACTCACAGATCCTAAAGAGGAGTAGGAAACAGGCAGGAGATTAAAGGAAGGTTCTCCCCCCAAAGCAGTGTCATTACTAAGTTTCAAAGTACAGAAAATGCTTGCTGCTGGTAAAACCTATGAGTAAAGAAAGAATCTTATCAAAGAAACATGAAAAGGCTCAAATTGCAAATTAAAAAAGGAAAAAAGCCTTCACCAGATGAAATGATCAGCTTGCTTTATACCTTTCTATTTAGATAGCTCATTATGATGAAAAATGTTAAAAACTTTTCATAAATCTTTTTTTTTTTTTTGAGTGTGTATTATCCATTGGCTTTAATTTGATTTTATATGTGCATCATTTCTTTGTTCTAAAGTTAGGATTTTCCTAAGTAGCCATAGTCAGAACTGAAGTATGTTGATTAAACTGCACTTCTGATATTATTATCTATTAGGCACCAAGTTTTCTCTGTTTTGAACAGTACACAGAGAAACAGTCCTTGACTTCATGATCTAGAAGATTTTGATCTGCAATGGTTTTGATTTGTGACAGTTGACATTTTGCCTATAGCTTGTCATTTGGCAATATATGGTGTTTGAAACAACATTTGTTTGGGGTTTTTTTTCTCTTTCTTAAAGACTAGGTTAAAAGTAATCACCTTGTGATTGTTTTTCATAAGCATTAATTTTGAGGGAAAAAAAATATTGTATTGTGAGAAAAGATCAAAACATGACTGGCCCAGGACCCAAAACTTTCCAGTTCTCATGTCAGACTGTTTTGCCTCTCTGTGTTGTTACCAGACTCAGATCTGTTGCATAACAGAACCAGTAGAAAATAAAACCACGGAATTTTGTCTATATTGTTACACTAAGTAATATTTTCAGTCAATTCACTAAATGTTATTTGCTCTTTATTACTGTCACTATAAATAGTTAATATTTGCAGAACAATTTAAATATGAACAGTATTTTATTATAATTATAAGTATTATTATTGTGATTATTTCTACTAATATACAAACAAGAAACAGAGGTCAACTTTTAACTGCCAGAATGCATGCAAATGCATTTTGGAAAAGAAGATGCAGCACTCTCCAGGTCAGCAGTTGGGTATACAACTCCATGCCCCACACTCAATTTTACCGGGATCTATGCTTGTAGACCACGTGACCGTTTTGCCTTTTCTTTGGTGCCCAGACTAGAGATGACCTGTATACACACGTATTAGACAGATGCAATTGGAAGAAAGTAAAGGTAATGGTTTAGAATATGAGGCTCAGGTCAAGAAAATATATAAAGAAAACGTAAGCAAAGGGAAGATGAAGTTGTTCATGGCAAATAAAAAAAAAATGGCAAATTGAAGAAGGAAAACAATACCTATCATTCACAACATGCACAAATATTTTAAATGTGTGTAAAATTAATAAAGGCAGGTACTAGGATTTTTTTTTCAAATATTGTGATACAGTTCTTTGTTTGATGTGCCCATATCTATGCTAACCAAACAAGAAATGAAATTTTATTTACATGTATATATTGTCTCATAAAACGACTTGGACAACTGGGAAGGTGACTTATCTATTTGTTAGCTATTTTCTTTTTGGCCTTTTTTTTTGCAGTACATCTCGAGAAAGGTTGACCAAAAAGACCTTGGCAAGCCAGTTTTAAAGAAGATAAAAATGAAGCAGAAAGCAGGGCTGTGGTTCTGGAAGAAGCAGGAAAAAGCTGACTAGACTGGTAAGATGAGCAGAATGGAAGCAGAAATTATGAACTGAATTTTCTTTTGCAGATTCCAGAGCTCTTCAGCACAGCTCCTACAACTGCAAAATTACATAAGAAGATGGGACTTCAATAAAAGGAAGAAAAACAAAAACATAAGATTGTGTTCCTGAGCAGTCACAGAAAAAAGCTCAGGAGCTTGATCACACTTTAGACAAAGGATCAAAGTAGTTAGAAAGAAAGAGTTTTACTTTTTCATTCTTGTTACAATCTCAGAATTTTTAAATCAGCTTGCTTTATGTAGAAGGAGTAAGTAAGTCATGATCTTTGAACAGACGCTGCTGATAATTAAAAAAAATATTGAAGGTGACAGAAGTTTAAATTATGCAATGGAAAACCTAATCTTCCAAAGAAAGTAACATTACCAGTATAACAGACAAAGCAATTAATCCAAATATATTTTATGCGATGTCTCTGTGAAAGGGAAGGAATCTATGTTATCCTCTGTAAAAAGGTCACAATAATAAAAAATAGAATAATATGATCAAAAAGATCAGTGTTTAAAAATGTTATGGAGGAAGAACCAGAAGGCTGTGAACTGGACAGAATTTAGGAAGTTAAGGCTCAGAGAAAAAAAAGCCATGGGAAGAGCTTGGGATGAAAGATTAGATATGTAGGTTTGCCCTTAATAAATTCTGGGAACACCAGTACATCTAGTGAGCAAGTCAAACAGACAGAGAAAAAACTAGGGTTGGTGGAAAGGAAACAGGATAAGGTTATGAGAGTAGATCTGTGAATCATGAGCAAATAATATTGTAGAATTTTTTGTTTTGTTTTTGTTTAAGTTCAGACACCTTCTATTAAGGCTTCTACTAGTGATTTTTAAGTTGATAACAAATCAGACATACGGGTCCCAAACATGGAGAAATCCTCCTCCCAAAACACACATAATACCTGAAAACATAAAAATGTGACCTTCCTATAAAAAAACCCCAACAAAATTAGAGCTCTTGATGAGTTATTTCTCACTAGTATTTATGGAATGCAAGGAAAGAAAAATATTTCTTGTGGTGGAGGTTCTTTTGTGGGAATGTTTGCTGTCAAACCTCTAATCCTAGCATATAAAAATCATTAGAGTCTACAAAAAGCTAGGCATAGAAACATAGAATCATAGAACGATAAGGGTTGGAAGGGATATTAAAGATCATCTAGTTCCAATCCCCCTGCCATGAACAGAGACACCTTCCACTAGACCAGTCATTAATCATAAAAGGCATCTAACCTAATGAAGGGAAATTATATTCTAAAGCTCAGTAATTAGCCTCGAGACTAGAATTCCCAGGGTGCTTTAAGGAAGAGTAGTTGTGACCTGATTATTCTCAATTAGGACAAAGAAAGTAAGGCTAGCATCAGTAGTATGCCTTTGTTGTTCCAAAGAGGTCGATTCCCACAAATTGGAAAAAGTCATGAGTTTAGCAGAATGGAAAAAAAAAAAAAAAAAAAAAGGTAGAAGAATATGAATGGGAGCTGAGAACTCTGTAAGAAGAATATATGAGACATCAAAAAACCAAACCAAAACAAAAAGAAATGGGGCAGCCTTTGACTGATGACTTGCTCTGTCCTGAAACCTTAAGGATGGCGATTTGAATGAAAAATAAAAGTAAAATCTCGCAAAAATATCCAAGCTGATAAAAGAGAGAAAATAGGTAAAAAATTATATAAATTAGCAGCTACAAAGTAGATAAAGTAATAACAGAAGGGATGAATTTGTAAAAATTTATAGCTACCTAGAAAATAAAATGACATTTTGAGTATGTCATGAAGAAAGGAAACTGTAGTATTTGGCCTTTACTAAGTGGATATGATGAAGTTGTTAATGGTGCAAGAAGAACACATCAGAAGCTTTTGGATATGCATTTAGAAATAAATTTGTACTGCTAGATGATTTTGGGTAAAGGCTATGAAAGGAGGATAGAATGACCTAAGAAAGAGATGCTGGAAAAGTAGTGTGTAAATGGAGCGAAGCTCAAAAGAAGTCTTGTAAATGGATGGACCATGACATTAAAAGATCATGGCTGTTGGCAATGGTTTTTGAACTGCAAAAGGTCACACTCAAGGAGTTGTGTTTCACAGTCCATTATATTTGGGAAGAAAGGTTTTCCAAGAGAGCGACTTACGCAGATGCTGACTGTGATGGTTTCATGGATGTTGCCCCGCACTCTCCTGAGCTGTGGGGCAATTTGGGTGATGAAGGAAGAGAGGAGTCTGTCAGCTCTTCTATGTCCGAATGTGAGGAAGGAGGCTTGGTGGACTTCTTCTTTCCAAAGGCCTGTTTGAAAGAGCTTCTCAGCTGGAAAACAAACATGGAGAAAGATTATTTTCCTCATCATGGCAATTTGTGTGCAGCTCATGTTTTGAAGAGTTAGTTTGCAGATGCCATCCTAGCCACTGCCTGAGGTCAGTATACAGAAGCAAGGTATTAACATATGCAACACAGTATCTCTAAAAACATGATACAGTGCTTTGTTTTGACTTTATTAATCCAGCGCAGCGCAAACGTAATGCTATGGAAAAAGTGCAGGACCGAGTGGTACGGCTATGGGAGACGCGTGCTCATTTAAAACCATTAAGCCCCAGTGGAATCCCATTCCCATGGCATTCCCTTCAAGGGCTGGCTTTAAATAACCACTTTACATCTAGGTACAGGCAGAACTTGCTGTTACTAAATGCTGAAATCAAAAGACAAGTCCAATTTACTGTTTTTCTCAATTTACTTTGTCTGTTAAAAATTTGAGCGGCCAAAGTATGAAAATACTATGCTTTGGATCGTAAGCGAAAGGATTTAAGCTGACATGAGGCTTGCTTTATTGTACTGCTGAGAAGAATGTTAGCTGAAAGCTATATACTTTTTGCTGCAGTTTCCTTTAGAGTAGTAAGATGTCTGAATGTACAAGCATTGCCTTTTCCCTCTAGAAGCCCTTATCCAGTATTGAAAAGGGACAGAATAGCCAAAGAGCCATTTATTTCAGGAGCCAAGATGACAACAGTTTTGTCTGCAGTGAATTTTAACTAGCCCATTTGTTGATACCTTTGTTTAAATACAGAAATTGTTCATCTTAGGAAAAATGTGATTGGTTTTTGTTTGTATTTTCAGAAAGTTGTTCTGATTAAAATGGTATAGAACTCAATGACAAACTTATTCCTTTGTAAAAAAAAAAAAAAAAAAAAAAAAAAGAGGTATTCAAACATTTTATTTTCATGATATAATTGAAGAGTGGGGAGTGTGACCACTGATCAGAGAAAAATTATTTAAGTCCTTTCCAGCTCATGATATCTAATGAGAAAGAAATGGATTTTGGCTACACTCCCCCTTTCTATAGTCTAAACTTTGAGATTAAAATGAATAGAGACAAACTGAGAGGACATACAGGATAATCTGGTTTTAGAAGTTATAAAAGCCTACTGCCAAAATAAATAGCAATCATGCCAAGATAGGGTTCTTTATAGATGCATGCCAAATTTTCCATGGTTTATATTCACCTCACTTCCTCTAGAGTTCACCTTGCAGAAACATGAAAGAG